CGAATTGGCTGAGTTGTAGCTTAGGCCTTGTCACTCACAAGCTCGGTCCCAGCCAGAGAATCTCTGGTGCTCCAAGCCTGGGGGAGAGGGCACACATATCTGACCACCATGAGGCCATCCAATTCTGAAACTATAAATGAGATAATAGGCGCAGAAGGGGTCAGAAAATGCAGAAAGTGGCTCACAGATGGGTTTCTCACTCTTGGCTGCCCTGTCAATTGCCAGCTTCCTGTCGTTGCACAGCTGCTAGGCTCACTGAGGGTCAGGAAAGCACTCAATTTGAGTCTCTGAGCTGTAGCAATGACAGCATTTCAGGGGGGTCTGGTCTCCCAGGGCAGATGAGACCTCACCCAGGAAGCCAGGGAGGATGGGTCAGAGTGGAAGAGGGGGCTTGGGTTGCTCCTGGGCCTCTCAACTCGGAGTCTTCTCAGAGCTCAGTCTGGGCCCCACCAGTCAAGTGGCCAGGCCTGGGATCTAGGTTTCATCTTCCTCAGCCTCATTTCTCCCCTAAGAAGGATTAAGGATGCATTTCACAGGAAGATCAGAACTAAATCAAATTCAGTATGTGCTAACTTAAGCCACTCTGTCAGAGACCCTGATGTAAGACACTGACATCCAAGGCAATGCACTCTTCTTGATAAATTCTACTGACCATTTATGACACATGGTAATGCCCTTATTTAGCCCTCACAGCAACCTAAGCAGATGGGGATTGTTTCATCCCATTTTACAGTGGAAAGCCATAAAATGGAGAGATTGCCGAATGTCACATTGTGGATGTGTGGTAAAACCTGGATTCAAACCTGCCAGTGGGCTCTGGAGTCCTGGCTGGCTCTTAAGTTTGAATTCTACGGTTCCTTCACCCTCTGTGATACTCAAGCTATCCAGGGGGTCAGTAAGCCAGTCAACAAACACTTGGTGGTCCCTATTGTGTGTCAGAATTCCTTCTAGATGTTGGTGGTGGCACTGGTCCTGCATTGAGGGCCTCCACCCATTCTGGCAGGAGATGAGACACATATAAACAAATACACATGTTAAGGTCTAGGAAGTACTATGAAGGTAAAAATAAAATAGGACATGCTCTAGAAAAAGGCAGGAGGGGGTCTTTAGTGAGTGAGAACAGGCTACTTAAAGGGGTAACCTTTGAGCTGGGACCTGCAGGAGGGGACAAAGGCAGCAGAGTGAAGACATTTCTGGTCCCCAAGTGCAGGATCACCAAGTTCCCCTAGGACTTGGTCCAAAATGAACTTGGCCACTTCACATGGCAGCAGAGCAGCCTGGCTGGAGAGAGGAGGGGAATGAGATCAGGCATCCATAACCTGCCCCTGTTAGCAGAATCCCCAGAAGCTGAGGCGCCCCGAGGAGGCAAGGTGATGGATGTTCCCCAGTTTTTTTACTGCCTAGTCCTCAGGCATGGTCACCACTGAACTCTGGGGCTTGGGAGGCATATCTCACCTTCCAAGGCTCTTACAGGAGTGGCTGAGTCCCTGGTAATGGGATGCCAGCTAGCAGCACCCCAAGATTAGCCAATCATTTCTTCTTCTCCCCCAACTTCTGGGCAGCCTGGCTCTCAGCCAGAGAGATGGCAGTCAGCAGGGCTCCCCGAACCAGCGATGTGAGCTGATGCTACGTTACTAAGAGCCCTCAGCTTCCATCTGTCCATTCCAGAAACCCAGTCACCTTGGGGAAAGGCTAGAGAGTCATAAAATCACAGACTAGCTGGCTTCAGGGAAATCGGAGGTCACTGAGCCCAGCCTGAGAGCTGGCTCTTTGCTGCTCTCCCTCCCCAGGGTCCTCCTAGACTGCAGGACACTGGTCTCAACTTGGCTGCCCAGCAAACTCACTTTTGGAGCTCACCAAGACCACCCATGCCCAGGATGCCCTCGGGCTAAGTGCATCAGCATTCTTCTGGGGGAGGGTTGGTGGCAGGACCAGTAGTTGGCTGACTGCCAGGGTAACATGGGCTTCAGGACAGTCCTCTGGAGTCAAATAGACTTGGATTTGAGCTCTTGTTCTACAACTTTGACAACTGAGTGTCCTCGCCCAACTCTCTGACCCTCTGTCCTCTTCTGTAAAAAAGTGCATCTTGGGGCCTCCCCAGTGGCGCAGCGGTTGAGTGCTGGGTTGCGAAGCTGCCCGCAGCCTCTGCAGCGCCGGTTCGATCCCCAGATGCTCCCTGGCTGCTCCCCGGCCACCGGGCGAGGGTCCCACATGGTGTGCAGACCTCCCCTGCCATCCGCTGCTCCCCTCAGCAGTGTGCCTTGGTCCTTCTGCCTGCTCTGTTCCCCACTCTGGCTCTGGTGAATTCTCTCACCCTCCTGCATTTCTGACTGTGCCCAGTGCTTGTATAAATAAATAAATAAATCTTAAAAAAAAAAAGTGCATCTTGGTAGAAGCTTATATGTTGTTCTCAAGACCAAGTGTATTAACCCACCAGATGCACAGCCTTCATTCCTAGTGAGAACCCCAATAAATGTGTTTATTGCTATTATTTTCCCAAAGTGAAACATTTTAGTGGAAAGCTTTTCTTCAGGTTCATTGAAATGTTCTTCTTTTGGCTGCAAGAATAATCTTCTCAAAGCCCAGGTCTATTTATGTCACCCACCCACAGAAAATCATTCTGTGGTTTTCTGTTTTTCTCAGGGTCCAGAGAGAAGTCTTTAGTCTGACCTACCAGCCTCAGTGTATCTGGCAGTTCTCGAGTTTCTCTTGTACCCTTTCCCCCTTGACCTGGGGATGGTGGCTTTGATTCTTCCCCTGCCAAGCTATCCCACCACAGCGCCTTGGCATGTGACAGTCCCTTCCCTGGAATGCCTTCCCCATCCCTCAGTGTTCCGTGATGTCATCCCCACACCAGTAAAGCTGGTCTTGACACATTTACCAGGACCAATCCTCACCTTGCCTTTCTCAGAGCACCAGGTCACAGTTGACATTTTACATCTGCTTTGCGGTCATTTTATTACCCAGGAAGCGGAAGGCTGACAGCAGAAGGCTAATCAGAACTGTGTTAGTCAAGGGCCAGGTATACATTCCAGCTTAAACTGGTGAACCCTAAAGCAACATGTGCAGAGAGGACCCTTGGTGATCTAACATTAGGCTCATAAAAGCCTTGTCACAATAAAATCCTGCTTGGCCGCCATTTTCAGAACCTGTGACCCTTGCAGAGGCCTGATCAGTCAAGAAATGACACTGAGCCTATGCTGCCACGGTTCTGGCTGTTCCACCCTGCCCCCACTCTGTCCAAATACCAATAGTCCTATAAAAATTCTGACTCCCTTTAGGAAGCAGAGATAGTGCTTTGGGAGTGATCCCTCTGTTTCCTTATTTGAGTCAAGTGATAAAACTCTGGACAGTTGGCTGACGCAGGCCAAGGGAACAAACCTTCTAGTTGGTAACAATGTCTCTGACATATGTTGCCTGCAAGCTCCATGAGGACAGAGACTATATCTGGATTTGCTCATTCAGGCACCCTCTGTGCCTCCTCAGTGTTTGGCACATAGTTGAGGGTCAGTTCCAGGGTCAAATATTTGTTGAATAGACAGGCCAAAAACTGGATTCAAGTTCTGCTCTCTAGCATTCCCCAAAGTGGTGGGTGCCCTGACCCCCTGACCCCCTGCAGAGGTGGGCAGGCACCCTTTTCCCGCCTGTTCCCTGTAGAAGGTGACTCTTTCAGGCCCTCTGCATGCTCCCCGCACCAGTTCCAGGTAGGATACTGTAGCAAAAATGGAGTTAATCCAGCTTTTTGCCTTCCACCACTGCCCTCTATGGCTGGCACCTGAGGCCTTGCTTTCCTCCCAGGTTTTGTGTTGGGAGCACGAGCACATGGCATGCACAGTCACGCGCACCAAGAGGCCAGGGAGCAGGGGGCGTGCCCATATGTCAATGCAGACCCCTGGTTCGCAGAGTGATAAAGGGGCTCAGCTCTGGTTTTCACAGTGGTGTCACTCTGAAGTGAGTGAGCCAAGACAGAGAGGCAAACCGAGAGAACGTGGGGGGCTGGGTGGGGAGAGGGAAGAGAGAGAGAGAGAGAGAGAGAGAGAGAGAGAGAGAGAGAGAGAGAGAGAACGTGGAGATCCTGGGAGCTGGGAGGCACACTTGCCTCCCGAGCCTCCTGGCCCCCCTGCCTTGGCTGCCTGCCTGGCCTGCCTGCCCGCTGGTCTGCCTGTTGTACCTGGTTCCCTGCTGCAGCATCAAAGGCCTGTCAAATCAATCGAGGGTGCCAAGATTCCTTTGTCTGCCCGAATCCTCAATGAATCTGCCTGCCCTGGGATGGTTGCACTACAGATGCCTGGTCCAGGGCTCAAATTAGGGGTTGGGAAACATTCAGCAGCCGCTGCCCACACAGCTTTGCCTAGAAATGGGGCCGCTGGGGAGCCCTCCAAGATTTCATGCTCCAGTTAGCCTTTCCCCTTCAAGGCGCAGGATCTCCAAATAGTTAAGCTTGTGCACTCAATGTCTGAGCTTGTACAGGGTAAGGGTGCCCCTGGTGGTTGATGGACTTTTCACACCGGGAGGCCATTTTCCAGGAGCTTCAGCCTGAGAACAGCCTCCTACCATAGCCTGGCTGAAGGGGTTTTGCCAGTTTGCTAAGGCATCCTCAAAAAACAAATGTTAGTGATGAAGTTAAACTCTTCCTGTTTTTTAATCAGGAATCAGGGCCAAGCTAAAGCAAAACTACAAAGCAGATGAAGAAATTTTTTTTTAAAGCAGTTTCCTAATGCTCAGGAGCTAATGCTCAATAAAAGCTCATCGATATTTGTGTTCCAGCTCAGGAGACCCCATCCCAGCACGCTGTCAATTCTTCAGGGGAAGCCAAGCACCAAACATGAAGGGATTGTGTTTCAAAGCACACTGGCCTGATTCAGCTGGCCAGCTGTGGTCATTGGCAATTCAGAACGTTCAGGTGCTTTCCTGAGCTCTGCTTTGCAGACAGATACACAAACATTTAGGACCAAAATGGGTGGAAATCATCTGATCCCAATTCTTCATTTTACACATAGGGAAACCGGGTCCATCAGCTGGGAAATGACTTGGCCATAGCCACACAAAGAATCTGAAGACAGAGGGAAGATGGGAATCCAGATGCCTTGTTTCCCAGACAACTGCAGCGTCCCTGCAGCATGCAAGCTGCCTTGGCAACCCCAGGTATCTATGAAATCCTTGTAACAGAAATGGTAGGAACACTGTGCCTCTTGAGTTCTTATTATTTCCCCCAGTGGAAAGTCGTGGTCACATAATACCATGGTCAGAATCTTTCTCTCTCTTCCCCCTTCCTCCTCTCTCCAGTCTTAGGCTCAGAATCTAGGAAACGGCCTGAGGATTCCAGGGTGATCATCCAGCTCCCACGCCTCAGAACTGGAGGTTTGTACGGAAGGGTGTCCCCCTAGTGGAACAAGTGAGGAAGACAGGCAGGAAGTGAAGCAGAGTTGCCCTTCCCTGATTGACCCACCTCCCCTAAGCTGCATTCTGCTGATGGGTAACACGGATTGCATCTGCACTTGCACGACTGGCATCCTTTACCTCCCCTGACCCCAGCATTGTCAGATCTGTCTATACTTGAATTTTTGTTCATCAGAGATTTTAGCACTCATTTTGATTCTTTAAAATACTATTTATATTGATTGCTGAGATTTTTGATGCCCCCTTAAATTTTGAGCCTCAGGCCACTGCTGCATCCACCTCCCCTGATCATATTGCTTACAGACCTCCAGATACCACACTCACTTGTCAGCTGAGTCTCCAGGCCCAGAGAGGCCAGGCTGGCTTGTTTGGTTCATCTGTGTGGGTCTGGTGCTCCCTTCACAGAAATAACCAGCACTGAAGATTCCTCAGGCTTTCTCCAGAAGGGAACAAAGGTGAGAAACTCTATTCAGTCTCCCCTGAATGCTCCTCTTGCTTGGTTGTCATCCTTGGCTTATAAAGACTTGGATAAACACGGAAGTCCCTTCTAACAGTTTAAGACCACATCCCTGGAATGACCCCAGCCCCCTTAAAGAGGCTGCCTGAGAAAACAGGCAGCCAAAAGAATGTATTGTTTGTTCCAGCAACTTCTGAAGATAGGGCCTGGCTCCCAGTCTCTGTGGGAGGGAGGAGCACAGCTTCCGATAAAGGCCGATTAACAACCCCCATAGACTCTCATGGACAAGCCCCACCTTCCTGTGCTTTGGAATTTTTCACCTCCCTGACTCTCCAGAACCCCTACTTACTCCCCTCTCTGTTGCCTTGTCTTCCCTTTAAAATTCTCAGTCGCTTCAGCTCCCTATGGATTCATTTTTTTTATGACAATAGCACATAAGGGAGTGAAATCTGTCCTTAGCATGTTATCTAGCACCCACCATTCTCTTTGACAATGTCTGCCTTTCAAAGTGTGAAAAAAATCCTACCATCAAAGGCAATTTTATTTATTTATTTTAAAGATTTGTTTTTATTAATGCATGCAAGAGCTGGGGTGTAGGCCAGAGGTGCAGGGGCAGGGGTGAGAGGATTCACTAGAGACAGAGTGGGTTGCAGGACAAGCAGATCTACTGAAATACACTGCTGAGGGGAGCAGCGGGTGAAACAAGAGAGGTCTGCTGAGCCATGTGGGTAACTCCCCTGGCAAGGGATTGAACTCAGGCCACAGTGGCTGACAATAGTGCTGAGACTTGATCAAGTGACCGGCTTGATAGCACTGAGAGTTTAACCCCTTGCACCAACAGGGAGGCCCTCAAGGGCAATTTTATTGCACAAATATGCAGGGGCCAACAGTATTCATCAGTCCTATGAATGTCTAAAACAGACCTTGTCTGTGAGGTCCTCAGGAAGCGCCAGAACCAGGAGGAGCAGTTGTTGCCCCAGCGTGTCTGGGAAGGCCACCTCCTTGGAACACCTTCCATCCTGCAGCATCTGCCTGAGAACTCCTAGTGGCTCACCAAGGAGGCCGCTGGATTCAGCTGGCCAGCTGTGTCACCTGCTTCTGCCCTGCCTGCCACAAACCCAGCACACCATCAGGCTTGTCTGACTGCATCAAAGCCAGACAACACCCCAGCCCTGGGACCTGCAAGGTCTCTGCCTCCATCCACTCCTCTCCTGTCTGAGTACCCTCCCCACCATCCCTGCTGCCTTTCTTGGGTGCCAGAGGGACACAAGTTTAGGTCAGTCTCCTCCACCACGGAACTGTGGGATCTCCAGCTCAGGCTGAATTTATTACCCAGGCTACAAAGGGTTAATTGCCTTCAAAACCCTACATTCCTAGGGGAAGGAAAAGGAAGTGGCTAACATCCCTCCTAAAACATTTTTAAAATAAAAGGAAAAAACAACTGTTCACAAATATGCCCCTTGAACTCAGAAGCTCACCATTTTCTATGAGGGTGCCAGGCAGGACCCTGACCCACATGGGTCCCAAAATCCTCTCAGGGCGTCTCAGACCCATCCCTAATCCTACACTTTTTTTGTGTGTGGCTTAGTGAGAAGAGAGTTCTAAGATAAGCCTATTTTATTTATGGCATAAACGCTATTTTATTTATTATGGCCTCCTGTCCTGTCCCTGACAATCCCTCTGGCACTTAACCCCTTTCATAGCTAGAGGTGAGTCAGAGCAAGCTGCCAGAAAGTAACGGCTCCATTGAGGATGTTCTCTTCCCCCGTGAAACTGTGGGGTCCCCTCAGTACCACCACTTTGTACATTGACTTCCCCCTTCCTCAGCGCCTGATGTTGGCGACCACCAGGCAAGAGGCATTTATCTGCTCCCTCCTAGAGCCGCTCAGGCCCGCCACACATCCCACTGATGGAGAAATGGCCTGGGAGATTCGTAGCTACTCATCAAGTGCTGAAGTCTCTGCTGATTGACTCAAGCATGAGCAGATTCAAGGTTACCCCTACAGGAATGCCACTCTCACTGTTGGTTCTGATAAAGCCCCTTGAGTGGAATGAACTCTTTGCTGCAGTCAGTGGGATTCTGCTTTACTTTCCAGCCAGCCTCATACCTCTTGCCTTGCCTCTTTCTCAGTTCACCCCATCCATGCCTCTGGCCCTCAGTGGCCTTCAAATATGCCCAGCTATTTCCTATTCAAGACCTTTGCTCTTGCAGCTCCTCCCCCAGACCTTGGTATTCTTTTTTCTCCTGCTTCAGGGTTCAGTTAAAAAATTAACCTTTTTTTGAGATATATGCTCGCCCATGTTCATGGCAACACTGCTGACAATAACCAAGAGTTGAGAACAACTCGAATGCCCGTCGAAAGATGAGTAAATAAAGAAAATGTGGCATATATCCACAGTGGAATAGCACTCAGCTCTGAAAGGGAGGGAATCCGGCCACTTAGAACAACAGGGATGGTTAGAGGGTATCAGCCTTGGTGAAATAAGTCAGAAAGAGAAAGGAAAGCACCAAATGATTTCACTCACAGGTGGTGGATAAAGAAACAAATAAAAAGGTCCTCCCTGGTGGCGCAAGGGGTTAAGTCTCAGCACTGTGAAGCTATCTGCAGCTACTGCAGCAGGAGTCTATCTCCAGCCAGGGAGCTACCCACATGGCACAGCAGACCTCTCCTGCCTTGCCTGCTGCTCTTCTCAGCTGTGTCTGTTCTGCTCTCCACTCTGTCTCTGGTGAATCATCTCACCCCCATATCCCCACACCTCTGGCCTACACACCAGCTCTTGTATACATCAAAAAAAAGAAACAAATAAAACAAAAACAAAATTTTAGACTATAAGGACAAAGTACTGGCTAGCAGTAGAGATGAACAAAATGGGGGGAGAGAGTGTAAGTTGGATAAGAGGGGTTAATTGTATAGAGAAGATGGAAACTTGAATTCTTGTGATGAACATTTTGTGGTATATACAGATGTGGATTTATAATGTTGCAAAGCAATATTACTTCAATAAAAGAAATTTAACAAGTCACACTACTCCCCTCCCCCTCACATGATGTTCTTTTAGAAAGTGTGTTTTACCAAAGTTGTGTCTCCTCGGGCCTCCCTGGTGGCGCAGCGGTTGAGCGCTGGGTTGCGAAGCTGCCCGCGGCCTCTGCGGCGCCGGTTCGATCCCCGGCTGCTCCCCGGCCACCGGAGGAGGGTCCCACATGGCGCGCAGACCTCTCCTGCCGCCCGCTGCTCCCCTCAGCAGTGTACTTCGGTCCTTCTGCCTGCTCTGCTCCCCGCTCTGGCTCTGGTGAATTCTCTCACCCTCCCGCGCTTCTGACTGTACCCGGTGCATGTATAAACAAAACAAACAAAGAAGCAAACAAATAAATAAAACATGCCTCTATTAAAAAAAAAAAAAGTTGTGTCTCCTCGAAAGCACTACTCAATCAAATATACATTTGGTTGACACTATCAGCCCTCCACACAAAGGACCTGTGGTTCTCTGTCTTCTCTGTTTTGCCTGCATGGGCTGGCATTTTGCATGAAGTAGAAGAGAAGGCACATGTGGGTTCCTGATTTTTTTTCTTGATTACATTCCAGTGCATGGATCTGGAGTTATGGGCTGTTTATAGAAAGGTTGGGCTGCTGGGCGATATGCTTCTCAAAGCCTTAGGGATTTTGGGTTTCTCTGAAAACATACTTTGTTTTTTTGATACAAGATGAACAGGAGAGAGAAAGTGAAAAGAATAGACAAACAGGATCTTTGGTGTAACCCAAAAGGAAGAGAAATTTGCATCGATGCTTAAATGCTAAATTCAATCAAAGCAGGGAGGATTTGACCACTCTTATTTCTTCCTATGGTCATTTACAGGTCATTATTGATATAACAGTCATACCAAAAATGTCACAAGAGTAACACCTATTGTAAAGTGAGGTCAGGAGATCCCCTGGGTCTTGTTACCAAGATCAAATAAAGAATATAAGAATGACAAAATTAACCTCTTGGTGGTACTGACTCAGAGGGGCTCTAAGAGAGCTGTAGGGAGTTTGGGGCTAGATTTATTCAGTTCTGGATCTATGGGAAGGTGTGTGCATATGTAAAAATTCATTGAGTTGTCTGCTTGAGATCTGTGGACTTTACTGGATGTGAGAAAAGCCAAAAAGATGAAATCTAAAAAAAAAAAAAAAACTTTCCACCTCTTCCCTGTCTCCTGACATAGTCACTGTTCTCATCTATGGCAGGTGCATTTCCTGGCACAGGAATGACAGAGTTTACTCCCTTGTTTGTACATTGCATCTCCCATTAGAATGTGAGCCTTACGAACAACAGAGCCACACTGTGTCCTGTTTCCTGATGTACCTTCCAGGGCAAAGCACAGCACCTGTCACACAGTGAACACACAGAAAATGAGTGACTGCAGGATGACTATGAAAACTTGGGTTTAATGATTGAGCAAAAGGATGCAGAGGGGGCTGGCCCCAATCTAGAAGTTCCCAACTCCCAGTCCCAACAGACAGTTGGGGGGTTCTTGCTCTGCAAGCACTGGGCCAGGAGCCTGTTTCTTCCTGGGCACCCCTTGTTGTTATCTGTCTACACTTCATTGGGGTCCTCCCTGTCAGCATAGATGAGAAAGCCCGTGAAGAGGCTGTCAGTCCAGTAAGGATCATAGAAGAGCCCATTCTGCTCTGAATAGAAGATCTGCAGCCAGACCTCGTCCCCCTGCTTGAGGGCCAGGATGGTGGAGCCTGAGGCCACGTCGTGGTTGCCCGTGTTGGCGTCAAAAGTCCGGATGCGGTACTGGCCGTTGTGCACCAGGCCAATGGCCAGGTGCTTGTTGGCCAGCGTGATGTCATAGGTGAAGTAGTAGATCCCCGGCACTCCACACACAAACTTGCCACTGGATGCATTGTAATGGCCTCCCTCGTTCATCAGGATCTTGTCAAACTTGATGGGCAGTCGCTCTCGGGGGTAGCTCTTGGTCACTGCCACTGAGAAAGCTGACTTGGCATGGCCACTGCTGCAGCTGCAGGGGCCAGGGAGGCCCGGATCCCCCTTCTTGCCCTTGGGCCCCTTCTTGCCTGGTGTGCCGTGCTGTCCTGGGGCACCACTGACTCCCTTGGGACCGCGAGGGCCTGCTCGCCCAATGGCCCCAGCTTTGCCCTTTGGTCCTGGCTTTCCCCGGTTACCGGTCCGGCCAGGTGGACCTGGA